TGTGATAAATCTCTGCTGCTTCAGTTTCTGGCTCATGTGAGGCCTGAGGAAGCCGAGTCTCTTTCTCAAGCTCTGGGTGAAGAGCTCGACCTCAGTCAGACTCAGCTGAACCTGCAGGTCTGTAGAGGTCTGGAGCTGATTCTGGAATATTCTGAAGGACTGACAGAACTGGATCTGAGTCAGTGCCGTCTCACCGATGACAGCCTGGATCTGCTGCTCCCAAACCTCCACAAAGTGCAAAACATTGAGTGAGTGACTGAGAAAGATACACAAAGTGTACATTTCTGAAGTGTAATGCAATCATTGTTACAGTTCTGCTTGATCTCAGTTTTAGTGGCAATAGCATCACGGACTTTGGGGCTCAGAAAATCTACAATATCGTCACTTGCAACAGTAACATAAAGACATTAAGGTTTGTGTCTGAGTGTCACAGTGTTGTCTGAAGTTATTTGAAATGTTGTTTAAATGGTGAAATCTTGCTTAAAGTGCTTTATGTTTGAGTAACGAGCATTTTGTTGATCACAAAAAATTCAGTTAAGTGTGTCCAAACTTTTGACTGATAGTTCATATTGTCATGTGCAACAGAGTGAAAATCATTAATGGCGATGATGTTTACGGTTTGTTTCATTTACATGTATTTATGTATTCATTTAGCAGATGCTTTTATATAAAGCGACTTGCAAATGAGGAATACAAGTGGCGGGTTGTAGCTAATATCAGTGTGTGTTTGTATCTCTGTAGGCTCTTCAACAACAGAATTGAATTCAAAGAGCTCTTTAGCACAGGCCCACGATTTGAGATCTGGTGATGCCAAGAAACTCTCTCTGGAATCAACAAGCAGGTGAAATAACCAGTGGAGATAAGGTAACAGATGTAAAAAACCATTAAGGAATCTGCCCAACCAGAGTCCTAGAGATGAATCAAGCCACCAGGTCATAAACCACATAAACCATGGTTTCTGTTGGATTAACTGTGACAAAATCAGTCTCCTTTGTAAACTGTCTTTCCCCTTCTCCACCCTTTATATTATTTGCATCATGCATATTATACTTCTGAATGTTTTGTTTTGTTTTTGTCTATTTAAATTTTTATTTTGCCTTTTTTTAGTGTAGTTTTTGTTTATTCTTATTCTATAACTTTTTTTTTTTTTTCATTTTAATTAATTGTATGTAGTAGCCTATTTTAACATTTCCAAAGTAAATCTACTTACTGGATTCATTTAAAAATAGTTATGTAAGAAGATAATCAGTTTTCTAGTTTCACTATTAGTTTTTATCTTTAGTATTTTAGCACTGCCTGTTACGACCCAAAACTTGTTTGATTTGTCTAGGAATATTAAGGGAAGGTAACATTCATAAACCTCTATAATAACATTTAGTATAGATCTTAATAGTGCATATCAAACAGTGGGCAAGTCATGAAGAGCAGAACGCTACAAGTTCAAACGGAGAAAAGACATTTATTCATTTCAACCCCAACCAATACACCAAGAAATATAGGCTTTAAATTCATCCAAAAGGGAAAAGTATATATATATTTCCAGTTAAAAAACAAAAAGAAAAAGACTTGAAGATTAAAGCATAACTACTTACTGGATACCTTTAAAAACTATTTTGTAAAAACCTTATCAGCGTTAAATTTCCGAGAACAGTTTAGTGCTACTATGAAATAAGCATAATCTGTTTAAACTGTTTAATCTGTCTTTTATTTTTTAATTGCATACTAAAACAACTATGATAAAGCTGAGGTATTTTACTTGAAATATAGGCTATCAAAAGCCTTTTTCAGCATTCATAAGGTTTTATGCCAGTAGATTTATATGCATTTTTTTGACATCTTGCTGTTTTAATATCAGCATAATTCCAGTAGAGAGCAGCAATGATTTATTAATAACAAGAGCCCAGAAAATTCACAGCGAAGATAGCAAGGGGGACATAGACATGACACAATCAAAATAAAGAGCAAGTGCATTTATACCATTGATTTCCTGATCTTCTCTTCTACGTCCTAACAAAGAGAAAGATCCTTCGTAAACAGGAAGTGTTTCTGAACTGAACTCTAGTGTTTACTTCAAACAGAATACAAGAGAGACATTATACTCAGGAAATCACATTTACTTGTTACTGGCTAGTTAGGCAGGAGGGTCAAACCAGCTTTTGTTTTTATTACTACTGTATTAAATGTTATGGTACTAAAGCAGTTAGAATAAATCATCACCGTATTACAAACGGTTACAGGAGTTTTCCCTTGTGATACTCTTACTTTTGTTTGTTTTTCAGATTTGATTTGATTTTTTTTTCTCTTAATTTTTGTGTTGAATCCTGTGTAGTGCTCTTGTAGTGGATATTGTCATAAACTGTTAATGTATGAAATAAAATGTGCTCATTTGCATATTCATGTGAAATACAGCGTGCAGTCATTTGGAAACTGGAAACATAATGCATTGCTTTCCTTAACCTTTCCTAAAAGTTCAATCATTTTCAACGATAATCATGATCCTGCTTTATTTCATGCTTTATTTTCTCCTTGGGCCTGATGGATATTGAATCATTATTCAGGAACAGAGTTTTTGTCTTTCTGAATTCATAGCTACTGAATTTGAGATGAATTTCTCAGATTTTAGCAGTTCTTTTGAGCAATATTCTAAGGTAGAGAAATAGAGGACTATCTGATCGAGATGCACATTAGGGGGATGATAAGGGTACTTGTATTGTTCTCTTCAGGGTTTATGAGCATAGCTGTTACCATGACGATTCCATTTCCACAGACATGTTGGAACAATGGCTTCAATCACTGAAACAATCTCAGTGCTTTTTCAGTTGGACACTGAATATGTCTGTACGACAAGGGTATGTCAGTAGGACGACTGAGTGCTTACAGAGCATAAAAGCATCTCGCCATTGTTTGGAAAGAGAGACGAGCAGCTGTTGAAATGCCTTGTATTCACATGCAACAATATTACACCTCAGTGAGATTTGTTTTGAAGAGATACACTGCAAAAAATTTTGTCTTGTTTTTCAGTACAAATGTCTAAAAATCTTATTACAAGATACATTTACCTGAGAAGCAAAATGACATAAGGTATCAAATCTTATTTACTGACAAATTGATCAAAATGAGTTTTTGCTTAAAACAAGAAAAGTTTTTTTTCAGTGGGATAAGAAAACTAACTGATCTTTTTTTCCCTTTTGAATTAAGTATGTTTTTCTCATTGACATTTTTTTTTTCATTTATGTGTGAACTCAATTCAATAAAATGTAATATTTAAAAAAAGTCCAAATGTAGTTTTATGAAATCATATGAAATAATAAAGTCTTCTATCACAAGTACTTTTTCATTTATGGAAAAAAAAATATTATTAAAAAAGGTTTCTGTAAATCCAGTGCATTCCAGCAACATGATAGACACTAAATAAGTGATGTTAAAATGAGGCAGGACTTATTGCTGTCATTCAAGAGTTATTCAAGCTCAAAGTCAGTTGTTTCCAGACATCATTATGGATACATAAATGGAGTCTGGAATACTCCATGTTTACACCATGAGCAGCTGAGAAAGACTGTCGTGAGTCATTAATTTCTGTGGAATGTTATGTCATTATTGGTTTCTGCTTTCTAGGCGACAATCAATTGCAAGAATGAAATAATCATTAACAGCAGTCAGTAGCTGGAAGGTTAACATTGTGTGCCATTTATGTTAGTCATTAGGCGTACACCTAAAAATGATAGTCTGTAGCTTAGAAACAAACCACCGACTACTATATGCAGCTGATGCACTATTATCCTCTTGATAAAGAGCTGGTTCAGTTAGAATCAGACTAGCACAAATGTTGTTGATCTCTGTTAAAGCTTCTTTTATAGTGAAATCTGTGTACCAAATTACATATAATACATTATGCACTTATACTGCGCACTTTGTAGTCAACTGTCTATGTGAATTTTGAAAATGTTATTTTGTGATCCAACATCATAGTCTTACAGCTGCTCCACCTCTGCTACGTACATGAGATATAAATAGATTTATGTACATAAATACATTTAGCAGTATTCTTACTTGATTTATGGTGCATAATGAAAAAAAACCTATCCGTATCAATACCTAGTCACACATCCTAACATAGCAGATTCGGGTTGAGTCACACACACACACACACACACACAC